AAGATGGTGGATCTGTATTGCTGGGAAACAACAAAGCTTGCAAGATTGCAGGCGTTGGATCTATGAGATTCAAGCTCCATGATGAGTCAATAAGATTGTTGACTGAAGTCAGGTATGTACCTGATTTGAAGAGAAATTTGATTTCTCTTGGTGAATTCGACAAGAAAGGATATGTGTTTCAAGGAGAGAAAAGTATCCTGAGAGTCATGAAAGGGTCGAAGGAAGTCTTGAGAGGCGTGAAGAAACAAGGCTTGTATACCCTTGAGGCTGAAGTTGTAAGTGGTTCGACAAATGTTGCATCCACGAAACCTTTGTCGAAGACAGAAATTTGGCACATGAGATTGGGCCATGTCAGTGAAAGGGGTCTGGTTGAATTAGGGAAACAAAATCTGCTTGGTGGAGATAAAGTCGAAAAGCTGAAGTTTTGTGAACCCTGTGTACTTGGAAAGTCCTGTAGAATGAAGTTCAACAAAGGCAAACAAAGAACACATGGATCCCTTGATTACATCCATGCTGATCTTTGGGGGCCTGCAAGGTGTCCATCACATTCAGGAGCAAAGTATTTTCTATCCATAGTAGATGACTATTCCAGAAAGTTATGGGTATTCATCCAGAAGACTAAGGATGAAACTTTTGAGAATTTCAAAAGTTGGAAGACTCTTGTCGAAAATCAAACTGGCAGAAAGGTAAAGAGGTTGAGAACCGACAATGGCCTTGAGTTTTGCAATGAGGCGTTCGACAGTTTTTGTGTTGCCTCTGGTATTGCAAGGCACAGAACTACCGCAGGTACTCCACAACAAAATGGTTTGGCTGAAAGGTTTAATCGAACTATTTTGGAGAGAGTTAGATGCATGTTGACTAGTGCGGGATTAAAGAAGGTGTTTTGGGCTGAGGCTGTTTCGGCAGCAGCATATCTGATAAACAGATGTCCTTCGACAGCGTTAGATATGAAGACACCCGAAGAAGTTTGGTCGGGACATCCACCAGATCTCGACAAACTAAGAGTATTTGGCTGTGTAGCCTATGCTCACATTAGGCAAGACAAGGTCGAACCTAGAGCTCTGAAATGCATGTTTATGGGATACCCTGAAGGAGTGAAAGCTTATAGGCTATGGTGCCTAGAGCCAGGTCACAGGAGGTGTATCATCAGTCGAGATGTAGTTTTCAATGAAACTGAAATGGCTTTCAAGAAAACTGATGATGTTGACGAAGAGCTGGAACAGGTAGAGATTCCTGTTGAGGTGGAGCATGTTGATGCTGAAATGCGTATCCCAGATGAAGTCGAAGAAGAAACAGAAGATTCTGATGATGTTGAGGAAACTGTTGATGACTACCTATTGTCGAGAGATAGGCAAAGAAGAGTCATAAAACCACCTCAGAGACTTGGATATGCAGATCTTGTAGCTTATGCCTTAATCTCTGCAAGTGAAGTTCTAGACGAAGAACCTAGAGATTATAAGGAAGTTATAAGGAGTCGAATGAAGACTGAATGGCTAAAAGCCATGCATGATGAGATGAAATCTCTTCATGATAATCACACTTGGGAACTAATCAAGAAACCTGTTGGGGCAAGGTTAGTCAGCTGTAAGTGGATTTTCAAAGTTAAGGAAGGAATTGAAGGAGTAATGTCGAAGAGGTACAAGGCAAGATTAGTCGCAAGGGGTTTCACTCAGAAAGAAGGTGTCGACTTCAATGATGTATTTTCCCCTGTTGTGAAGCACAGATCCATCCGAATGTTGCTTGCCATGGTGGCTCAGTTCGACCTTGAACTGGAACAAATGGATGTGAAGACTGCGTTCTTGTATGGTGACTTAGATGAAACAATCCTGATGAGGCAACCTGAAGGGTATGTCGAAAAGGGGAAAGAAGATTATGTGTGCAAACTGAAGAAATCTTTATATGGACTTAAACAATCTCCTCGACAGTGGAATAAGAGATTCGACAAGTTCATGGAACACATAGGTTTCATTAGAAGTCAGTTCGACCATTGTGTTTACTCCAGATTTCGACCTGAAAATTCATTTGTTATTTTGTTGCTCTATGTTGATGATATTCTGATAGCAAGCAACAATGTCGAAGATGTAATGAGGGTGAAGGCTGAACTCAATAAGGAGTTCGACATGAAGGATCTGGGAGCTGCATCTAGGATTCTTGGAATTGACATTCGAAGAGATAGAAAGCAGTCGAAGTTATGCTTATCTCAAGAGGCATACCTACGAAAGATTCTTGACAAGTTTGGTATGTCGAATTCAAAGCCTGTTGTGACTCCAACAAACCCTCAATTCAAGCTGAGCATTGATCAATGTCCCAGTACTGATGTCGAAAGAACCTATATGAACAGCATCCCATATGCTAATATAGTTGGTTCTTTGATGTATGCTATGGTTTGTACTAGACCCGACATAGCATATGCAGTAAGTCTTGTAAGCAGGTACATGGCGAATCCTGGAAAGGCTCACTGGCAAGCGTTAAAGTGGATTCTAAGGTACATAAATGGGTCTCTGAACAGAGTCTTAATTTATGGTGGAGCCTTGGGTGAAGATAGTAAAGCAGCTGTCGAAGGCTATGTTGACTCTGATTATGCAGGCTGTATGGATTCCAGAAAATCTATTTCTGGATATGTTTTCACTATGTTTGGTACAGCAATTAGTTGGAAAGCAACTCTTCAGAAGGTTGTTGCCTTATCAACTACTGAAGCAGAATATATTGCCCTAACTGAAGCTGTGAAAGAAGCATTGTGGCTTGAAGGTTTTGCAAAGGAACTGAAACTTCAAAGTCAAGGTATCACTGTTAAATGTGATAGTCAAAGTGCAATACACCTGTCGAAGAACCCAGCCTATCATGAGCGAACCAAGCACATAGATGTGAGGCTGCATTTCGTCAGAGGGGTAATCGAGCGTGGAGAAGTCAAAGTGCTGAAGGTCTCGACAGAACACAATGCCGCTGATATGATCACCAAAACATTGTCAAGTTGCAAGTTTTTCCACTGTATGCAGTTGATAAGGCTGCATGAAGAAAGCTAGTTAGTGTCTCTTGATGCTGTAGAGTTAGGTCCAAGGTGGAGATTTGTGGGATATTGGATCGAACTCTAGTATGATCGAATTACATGCTGTAGTCGAAGAAGGGTATAGCATGTATTTGTCGAAGGATGCTTGTTAAATTAGGTTTTAGTGTTTAAACCCTAATTTGTTAAGTTAGCTTGATTGTTAAGTTAGCTTGTATAATGGGCCTTGTGGAAAAAGCCCATTAGTTAGTATGTTAGGTTTTATTATAAATAGCATATTAGTCTCTCATCATTGCAACACAGCAAATCCTAATATAGGGTGAGAGGGTTATTTGTTATTCTTGTAAACTTGTAATCTTGTTTCCTAAGAGAAAGTAAAAGAATAGCAGTTATAACCAATTCTTGTGTTCTTCTTCCTTGTTCGTTAATCCCTTAATCTATACTTTGTTATTAACATCGAATTCACAACACATACAAATGAATCCCAGTTATTGAAATACTTACAGAAAGTTTAAGAAATTTCTAAAGACTTAATAAAAGAGGAGATGCCAGTGACCTTGCTCGATAAGACCGTGTTTTCCCTTGCGATACTTTGATGAAGCCCTTGAAACTTCATCTCTTGTGGACTATTCGACCCCCTTTTCAATTTGGCGGAGGCTTAGTTATCTTAAACGCCCATGTTTCACATGTATATATTTGTTATCCTGCATTTTAAGAGATCAACTTAGGCATCTCTCTTCCAATCATATAATCCTCGGTAAGCATCTATTTTTTATGAGTCCACAATAATCCATATGATTGCCAATGAACTAATTATCAGGAGTGTGTTTGATATTGCAAAGATAATTAACAAGTGTTTTATGTTCTTCAGACTTTTGAATAAATTAACCCAATATATTTGCATTTAGCTAATCTTAGAAATTGTCAATAAATCCTATCATAATTATACCATTGATATTTTCAAATAAATCAAACTCGTAACACTTTTCACCTAAGGATAACGAGGGCGGGCATGTTTCATATTATCAACAAGTTATCACCAATTTCCCTTTCTATCTAACTCTTCCACTAACACACAGGGTAGAACCGATTCATATGAACATTCATGCCTATCCACTCCCAAACAATATTTCTCCAAAAATACATTATACAGAATTTTGAATTGAAAGCAAGTATCGATACATGACATGATAATGGAATCAAATACTTATCTTTTATGGGTGGTGTGGCATACGTCGAGCTGCTTATCGGAGAGAATACCTACGTCGGAGACTTTAACCTTTTACAATGCATCATATTCCATGAATTTGTTCCCTTTGATAAAGCTTCGCTGCTCCAGCCATAGCACGAGTTGGTGAGTTTGAAACCAGAAACCTCAATCATAACGGTGAGATTGGCAACTCCCCGGTAACATTGATTGGAATCTCATCCTTAAACCTTGATATGTCTTTCTTCGATTTCATCACCTGCTAAAGCTTTGACTTAAGAGGGATCTGTTCCGTGTAATCTGTCAACTTCGGATGTTTACTGTCAGACAGAATATGAAATACCACAACACAAACATTCGGTTCAACACAAGCTTAGTCTTGATCATGTTATATTCTATGATATACACATATAAATCACATGAACTTTAACTTAAACTTATTAGACTTATCTTAAATTTATCACAGGTTTTGCAGATCTGTCTGTTCGTCTAATGCAGCGTCGGTTGAAATGATCTGAGAATCTTTACGGCCTCTGCTAAAGAGCGTTACGTCGGGATGCTTGTCAACAATGATGAGAGCAGCGACTGACCTCCCCACTTGAAGTTCCGATCCAAGAAATTGACTTGACATGTCATTTCCGCGAGAGGTTGTCTTCATCTTTATAAGAAGAATTATCCAGATTTTGATGTTTCATGTTTCCTTTGTCTTTTCTATTTAAGAACCTATGCACTTCGTAAATTGATCTCTGTATAACCCGATTTAAGAGTAGACTTGCGATAACTACAGATATGCATGGGAATCACTTATCTTTCAGCGGTGGCATAAGTACAGAAGGCATGCTCAGTAATGACAAACATACATTAGTTGCAGACGAAGCATTTAATCGAACAGCTAGTATTCATAGTAAGATAAGCAGTCAAAACTACATGAACAATGTGTCGATTCTTAAAAGGTTAGTAAAACTTCATGCTACATGGAGAATTCAAAAAGAATCTAAAATCACCCTCAATCTCTAAATTGAAGATGAATAGGGGAATAACAAAGAAATAAATGAACTTATCTTCTTATTTCATTCTATGAAGAATGAATGATGTTCTGGTCAATTCGAACCCGACTCGCATTGATGTTGTTCGATGTGTGATTCCGAGTACCTCCGAGTTTGGTCGTATTTCTTTTCGGATACAACGAAATCCGGGATGAGAGCTTCATGATTCCTTCATCGGCAACACTCTGTAGCGCGGGTTTTGTTGAACCGTGCTCGCTCTTAACAGATCATTAATCAGCGGCTATGGAGTAGTTGTCATCCGAAATAGATCGGTGACGACAGAGTATTCAACGATGCAAGAATGAGAAGTGTTGTTAGATGAAGAAGAGTTTCCATAGTTGGGAGGAAAACCATGCTTCCTATTACAATTATCAATGGCATGACCAATTCTACCACAATGCGAACATTCTCTACTCTTGTTTCCAAAAGAATTGGATTTGAGTTCAGGGCCAAATGAAGATGAAGATCCACCATAGCCACGACTTTTGCCTTGAAATTAACTAGCATCACTAGCATTGACAAGGACTTTGTATTCATCAATGTGTAGAGCGCTGTGTTGTCTTTCTTGTTGAAACACCATGGAAAAAATACGATTAATAGGTGGTAGAGGATTCATCAAGAGAATCTGAGCACATACCATATCAAATTAGTCATTGAGACATGTCAAGAACCGAATGGAACAGGTAATATTGTGATGATGTCTAGCATTGCTAACACCATATCACAGACACACTGATGTGGACAAGCGTAAACATGTGTGGGCAAGTAAGCCTCAAGTTCTTCCAATAGAGTCTTGAGAGCTCTAGAAAACTCAGAGACTGATCTTGAGTCTTGCTTCAAATTGCATTTGAGCTCAGAGATTCTAATGTAATCGCCTTGAGAGAGCCATTCTTGACTTTTAGCCATGCATCAATGGCCTTCTCAAGGAACATGATGCTTTGTACAATTGAATTCACGATCCAAGAATGAACAAGCATGTTGTAGTGACTCCATGCTTTAAAACTTGAATCAGATCTTCAATACAAATCTTTATTTCCTTATTATCTCTCTATTCTCTCCTCACTAAAAGTGCTTCACGCACTAACAAATTGGTATCCAAAACTTTCGATTATTGTTCTTGATCGAGTTTTCAAGAATTTCACGTTAGATATTGTGTTTCTAGGGCAAGTAAATCAACTGCGGTGAAGATGGCTAGTGAAAAGGACATTCTAAATTCTCTTTCAATGATTGACGGCAAGAATTGGATCCGATGGAAAAAACAGATGCAATCCTTGTTTGACTTCCATGAAACTCTAGAAGTGGTTACCGACGGCGTTCCTGCGTTAACTGCAAATGCAACCGACGAATAGAAAAAAGCCTACAACAAAGTCAAGAAGAAAGATTACAAAGCTGCTTATTGCATTCAGACGATGGTCGATACTGTAACACCCTAAATTTTATATTAATTATCTAATTAATTAATTTAGCATAATTACATGAGTACTGGTGAATTAGTTGGAATATATGATGTTTTGGTGTTTTGTGTGAGTCATTGTGATGACGTATATTCTTGATGATTTGATGAGCATGAGGTGTGTTATGATGTATGATGGGTTGCTATGTGTAGTATAGTGGAAATTAGACTAATTAAGAGGATTATTAGTATTTTGGAATAATTAGAATAATTGTTTAAAATTATTTTAATTGGGAAAAAATAGAATAATAGAAGTGTAGAGAAAATAAAGGCAAGATGGTAATTAGTGGAGAATAAGTAAGGACAAGGTGAGAAGTTTGATATTAGAGGTCTAAAGGTTATACAAGGAATTAGGGGAAAAGAAAGTCATTGTGGAAAGATCGTAGAATTGGGAGAAAGAAAGTGACTTTGTGGAGAAAGGAGGCTAGGGCACAAAGAGGCAAGAGATTTCGGTATAGAACTAAAGAGAAGTTAAATTGCTGCTATAATCAAAGGTACGGGGAGTTTTATCATTGTTATTATGTTTTATTTAAGGTTTATATTATGGTAGAATTGCCTTAGGTTTTGGTGGATGATGAATTATTGAGAATTGATGAAGAATTGATGAATTGGTAGTGAATAATGACTTATAATTGGTGTATAATGAACATAGAATTATAGAATGTTAATAGATGATGAAAACCTATAATTAGATGGTGTTTTAGGACCTGTAATATGATGATATCGCATAAAAACTGGACTGGTGCAGTGCAGAAATCGCAATAAAAAAATCTTGTTCGCACAAGATCGTCGGACGATGGGGGATGTGTCGCCGAGCGATAGAGCTTCGACAGGAGAAGGTGTGAGCAAAGGGAGATAGATTGGAGCTAGTTTCTGGAGTGCGCCGCGTTTAGCATCGCTGAGCGAAGGGTGACGTGAAGGTTGCGTCGCTAGGCGACATAGAGGTGTCTCTAGGCGACAGAGGGGTGTCGCCAGGCGACGGACGGTAAAATTGGTTGTCTAAGTTGGAAATCTTAAAATTATCATAACTTTAGTTCTAGAGCTCAAATTGAGGTGTCGTTCAAAGTGTTGGATAGCTAACGCAATGAAATTTAATTATATGGAGAAAAATGAGAATTAAGGAGTATATCTCCAAGACCTAAGTTATAAAAGAATTAGGTTCCTCGTGTTGAATCGCAATGATGTTTTGTTTATGACGAAGCTTGTTTATGATGGTGATTATATGATGGTATGATGTTGTGTTGATTACTATGATGATGTTATGATGATGTTTTGATTACTATGATGATAAGATGATGTTTATGGTGAATCATGAATGGTGATGCGTGTTCACTAGCCATGGTCGTATTAATTATGAGGCCGCGTATCATTGTATTCATGGCATAGTTAGGACTTCGATCCAGTGATGGTGATTAGGACTTCGGTCCAGTTGTGGTGATTAATACTTCAGTTCAATGATGGTGGTAGGATGATAGTCCAGTGAAGGCACAATCACATAGTGTGGATTGGACGTAACAGTGAAGTTTCGGTACCACATGCATGAGTATATGATGTTGCATTACATACTATGTGACATTGCATGATGATGTTTGATTGTGATGTTTGATGATACAGTGAGGATGATGATATATGTGTTTGTATCCTGATGAAATAGTGAAGGTGTGAGTATAACATGAAGACATGATGATGTGTGATGCCTTACTTATACGCATATTACTATGTCTATGCCTTATGTCTTATATAATAATTATGATTTAATCACCCTTTATGTTTGAATGTTGCCTCCACGTAGGTAACACGTAGGTGATTAAGAATAGTCCGTAGATGCTTAGAGGATAGCTTCAGAACGCGTTTATTTACTTTCCGTAGAATAAGGGAGTCCTGCTCAGATATGTAACATCGAGGTTGGGATCGAATAATTAGAACTTATGTTCTTTATTTTGTTTTAAGACATTGAGTCACCCTACGTGGTACTCGAGTTGTTTGATTTATAAGTAGGATTTATGAAGCGCGGCTATATTTTATGAAGTATTTTACCATGAGATGTTGAATTATGAATTCCGCTGCAAAGTATTGAAATATTTAATTTTATATAGTTGAGGAAATAAGTGTTTCATTGATGAGAACCTGTGTTACAGAGCAGGATGTATTATTATGAGGTATCTATGAAGATGTGAAACCTTTGATGGTGATATGCTCTTATTTGTTTATTAAAATAATTGTGAATATTCATTAGAGTTTATAAGGGTGTTACATTAGTGGTATTAGAGCAGGTCGGTCTTTCCGGCCAGGTTGATGAGTCTTTAGTGTATGAAAATGGTATACTGCCGAGTTAGTTTCTAACCATAGTATTTGTTGTTGATGTGAAACAGAGAAATGTCTAAAAGGAATGGTGTTGCGATTACTACTGCTTTGCAGGCTGTTGCTCAGGCTGTGCAACATCAGCCTAATGCTGGTGTGAATGATGGGTCTCTTATCTTGGAAACGTTTCAGAGGAATAATTCGTCTGTCTTCAAAGGGAGGTTCGACCCTGATGGAGCGCAAATATGGCTCAAGGAGGTCGAGAGGATCTTTCGGGTCATGAATTATACGAAGGCGCAGAAGATGCGGTTTGGTACGCATCAACTGGCCGAGGAAACTGATGACTGGTGGGTCAGTACTTTTCAGAGACTGGCAATAATAGGTGAAGTGATCACTTGGACTGTGTTCAGCAGGGAATTTTTGAGGAAGTACTTTCTAGAGCATGTGCACCGAAAGAAGGAGATTGAATTTCTGGAGTTGAAACAAGGGAACTTGGTTGTGACTGAGTATGCTTCAAAGTTTATGGAGCTGGCAAAGTTCTATCCATATTACAGTGAAGCAACTGCTGAGTTCCCGAAGTGTATCAAGTTAATGAACAACTGTAGGATCTATGATGAAGACAACAAGGCTCATTCAGCTTACTACAAGAGTCTGAACAAGAGAAGAGGAAAACCACAACAAGATCATAAGAAGCCTTATGATGCTCTAGCTGATAAAGGGAAACAAAATGCTTATGATGGGAAGAGGACAAGTGGAAGAAAAGCTCCCGCTTCTGTCAGGTGTTATAGGTGCGGTGAACAAGGTCACTGAGCTAATGAATGTGAGAATAAGGTTCCAAGATGCTACAAGTATGGAAATACGGGTCATCGTGCTTCTGAGTGCAATAACAATGGTCCCACTTGTTTCAATTGTGGAGAGCAGGGTCACATTAATACCCAGTGTCAGAATTCGAAGAGGGATGTTACTGCCCAGACCAATGGTAGAGTGTTTGCTTTAAGAAGATCAGAGGATTCTAAGAAGGACAACTTAATTCGAGGTACTTGTTTTATTAACGATGTTGATTTGGTTTCTATTATTGATACTGGTGCTACTCATTCATTTATTTAGCTTGAATGTGCTACTAAGTTGGAATTGAAATTTTCTAATATGAATGGTAGTATGGTAATAGATACTCCTACTAGTGGTTTTGTTACTACTACTTATGTTTGTTTGAATTATCCTTTGACTATCTATGACAAGAATTTTATAATGGATCTGGTGTGTCTTCCCTTACACCAAATCGATGTTATTTTTGGGATGAATTGGTTGGAGTTCAACTACGTTCATATAAATTGCTACAATAAGACTTTGAGGTTTCCTAAGTTTGGGGATAATAGAGAGTTTATGTTGTTGTCTGCTAAC